TGGACGGACAAGCTTCGAGATCACTTTCTGAATCGATTGGTAAAAAATACCTCAAGTCGTTGTATATGTTGTATACGTTCGTCCAAGCGGATACTACAAATAGTTTACTAGTTTTAAATACAACAATGGGAAGAAATTTGGTGTAAGCAAAGCTCGATAGAAACCCAAAATTAAAATCATTTTATATATAGTCTTACGATATCTTCTTTTTTTCTAACCCGATATGCTCTAAGGGCAAGTCCCCATACACATGTGGTCATGTTGGTGGTAATGGGGAGTTATACAGATAGAGAGTGCAGATATAATTCGAATAAACGTAAAGGCTTATGGTTGTTTGCCAATTATTTTAAAGTTAAGAAATTGTCGGAAAAGAATTGTCGGAGAAAAAATGCTCTCCATTAATATAATAATTTTGAAAGGTTATAATGGAATTGTTGGCTGATTTTGCATAAGGAATGCTGTTATGCCTTCTTCCTCTCCCTCTCTCTCTCTCTTCATCGTTACCTCTCTCTCTCTCTGTTACTTTCTCTTCTCACTTATCTCTCCCTCGTTCTCTATTTCTTTATCTATCCCCCTCCACCATTGCCTCTTTCTCCATCAACTTTCTTCTTCTCTCTACTTCACCGTCTCTCACTCTCTATCTATCTTTATCTTCCTCTCTCTCTCCATATATCTCCCTCTTTCTCTCTCTCCCTATCTTTCTCCCTTTTCCTTTCTCTCTATATCCTCCTCCTTCTCTCTGTACTACTCTGTGTCTCTCTTTCTATCTATCTCTATCCCCCTTCCCACGTTGTATCACATTTCTATAAAGCGACATGCAAGTAGATTACATAGTTATCAAAAACAGCAATTCTTTCAATTTTTCTTTTTTTTCTGTTTGTAAAGAAATTCTTCTAACTTTTTCTTTACCAAACCCATATATATATGTTGCCTAACGTATTAGGTTCACTGAGTGTGGGATTACTAAAGAATATGTTTTGCTATATATTTACGGATTTTTTATGGATGGCGGCGAGAGACTGTGACACGTGAAATGCTAAAATAAACGTTTTCAAGGAATTGATATAAAACTCTAGTGTACTTACTGAAACTTGATTTCGGTTGTGACCGCATCATTGGCTAAAAATTGATAAAAAGAAGTTTAGTTTATTTGTTAATAAAATTAATTTAAAAAAAAATGCTGTTTTCTGTTTAATACCTTAACAACAGTTCGCGTTTGGCGCAATAAAAAAGAGCCTTCTTTGTTGTTAAACCGGACAAGAGCGAAGCGAAAAGCCATGTTCACTAAAGAAACATAATTTAATTAAAATGAAAATTGAAAAAATAAAATATATAAGTTTCAATAATCATGTTATAGAAGAATAACTGATCGAACAATTTAAGAGAAGACCGTAGAATTTCATTATAACAACATTATAGTGGCCATCATATCAGCCATCAGCCTGTAGTTATTCATATAACGACTAAGCAGTTACAGGAAGGGTTCGTGTCCTTCGGCCAAAACGTGTACAGAGTTTCATTAAATTATCTAGCTCAGCTAATCGAGGAAATGACTTCACGAAATGGGTTTTGATCGTTATTGACAAACGTCAAATCCATTACAACTTTGCCATTCAACAAACAATTCGGAAAGAAAAGCTTTCCACATAATGTTTATGGCATTTTCTAACCAAAACGAACAGTTCCTTTGTAAACAAGTTGGCATTCGTCACAAAGATTATAATTTTACCGGTCGATATAAGTAATTTTCAAGCTATAATAAGATTCTCTTCAAAATTAGCCAATGAGTTTTTCAGTTTCCTTCTCTGTTAGCAGCTTTTTCCTTAAAATTAATCTAATGGCGTGGTTTGCAATAAAAAGAAGAGCTAATGTTTTGAGTAAAATCTTGATTAGCCTGATTCCAAATACAATTCTAACGAAACGATCTACAAACTTGTTGGGGGATATGATCGATTTAATTCCAAGCAATGGGTTCACAATCGACGATGCGTGTTATTATTGAACTATTGATCAATAGAAATAGAACTCCTAAATATTGAATTATTGACAAGCACAAGCTTTTATTGAGTGACTCTACCCACAATCAGGTCACTTAAAGTTTTCATGCTAGTTAGCACATGCGCTTGTAGAATTTATTGAAATATCTCAGGCAATGTACAAATTTCTTATTGAAATTTAAATATCTCGTGCAATGTGCAATTTTCTTAATGAAATTTAAATATCTCATGCAATGTGCAAATTTCTTATTGAAATTTAAATATCCCATCCAATATACAAATTTCGACAACGTGAAGTTATCAACATTGATAAACACCACTACAAGCTAATAAATATTGAATGGTTGACAAGCACAAGCTAATATTGAGCGACTGTATTCACACTTAGGTCATTTAAATTTTTATTCTGCAAAAGTTCAGAAGTGCTTAAGATTGAAGTTTAAATATCCCATGCAATATACAAACTACGGCAATCTGACAAACAAACAAACTGACAAAAGTTACCAATATTGATAAACACCATTACTGTTTATTGCAGATTGATAGGACTTATTTCCAAAACAAAAAAAATGTGGAAAAGTTTTACTCTCATTTTTTTTTGATAGCTAACACAGCGTTTTATTTATTACTTAGCAAAGGCGACAACCTTACAGAATAGAAAATTCATTGCTTTACGGTATAGGAAAAAATTCTCGTAAATATGATTGCCGTTATATATTAGGGATAAAATTACGTGCGTTCTTTAAAGGTCATTAATAAAAGGTAAGAAAAAAATTGATTTTTCACTAAGAAATACAAACATGTTGATGGCTGTGAGATGATGCCTCCAAAAATAAGATCGTTACCAAATTCTCATAAATTTTGCTCGAACAGTTTTCTTCATAAGCGATGATACGTTTTTTTTTGAATTTCTCAGTGCGTTTTTCACTTTTTTTAGACATCTGGCCATTTCGCTTACCTAGAAATTTAGACGATAGTCTTGAATTTTAGTTATTTTGTACAAATAAAAAAATTTATATACACAATTGATTTTTATTTTTACGACTAGATTTTACAATAATTTCTTATAATTGTGTCAAATATATCATCTATCGAAATGTATACTTGGTTTTCATTGAAAAATAGATTTAAAGCAAAATATCGGAAAACAGGTGAAAAACCCATAATCGCATCCGTAATACCACAATTAGAAGAAAAAAAACAACAGGCAGTGACAATTGGGAAAAAATGAATTAACGGCTATTCACACTTATATAGCTTGTATCGAAACCGATTGCTTAATCTATCCACCAATCCACCATCCTACCTTCGTATTAGAGTTTATAAAAATTTTCCCCTTTTCATCGAAGATTTTTCTATATAAGGGTAGAGACATTATGAAGAGGGGACTTTGTATTAGCAGTAAGCATTACGAAAGGTAAACCAATTAGACTACTTTCGTATTTGAATATATATCTTCGAGGGTCTACGATATTATCCTGTATATGAAATAAGAGACGCCTTGAAGAAGAGACTTGTTTTAATAATAGATATACCTAGATCTAGAGAGCAATGCGGAGAGTAAACCAATCAGACTACCTTCGTATTAGAATTTATAAAAATCTTTAAATTTTGTTCCTAAGTCTCTGTACGGGGTTAGAGACGTTTGGAATATGAGCCTACGTCTAGGGAGTCTAGAGAGCATTGCGGACGGCAAAGCAATCAGAATTTATATCTTCGAGGGTCTTTGATATTGAGCTCTATATGAAAGGAGAGATGTCTTGAATGACAGACTTTATATTAACAGTAAGTATACCTAGCTCTAGAGAGCATTACGGGGAGTAACCCTATCAGACTAATTTCTTCGAAGGTGTACGATATTGACCACTATATGAAGTAAGAGACGCCTTAAATAAACATACATAGGTGTAGGGGAATAAAGCAATTAATTTTTAGGATTTAAAAAAATCTTTCAAATTTCTTCAAAGCTCTGCGAAATTAATCCTTTTATGGGCGTTGTATTAATAGTAAATATATATTGGATCTGGAGAACATTGTACTGATGTAGTATAAATTACGCCGGGCACACGATCTCATTTCTGTCATCGCCTGTGATCTAATAGAAGAGAAAAAATGTGGATTTTTTTTAATCATAATTTGCAGAAAAGTTGGCAGAAAGTTATCCTCATCTGCTGATGTAATTTTTTTGCGCCTCAGGCCTTGATTGTCGGTATCGAGTGAACAAGATAGCTGGTGACTACGAATTCCTTGTAACGAGTAGATAGTTTAAGGTATGCGTTTTTCTTATTACCGGATGAACGGTATTTCCTCATTGTAAAAGAACGTTCGGACAACATATTCAACTTACTCAGTAAGTTTCTAAGAAAGCGTCTCTCAACTCTCCTAACTGGTCTCAAGACCAAATGTCCAAAGTTTCCGAACTAGAAGCTTGTTACTAAGAGAAAGAGATTACGGTTCAGGGCATTTCAGAATAAAAAAAGAAAGTTTTGATCATTTTTTTAATTAATTTATTTACGGCAAATAATTTTATTCATTAATCAAATACAAAGAGAAATCATTACATTGCTATGTGTATTTAGGTAGAGGTCTACAGCTGAAGAGAATCTGAAAAGATTTTTCTTTGTTTATGCTCGCATTTAGAATTTTACACAAAAGGGAAACTTTTTTTTGCGAATATAAGGTTTTTTTTTTTTTTGTTTTGAATATACACACAAACATGCACACACACGCACACATATATGTATATTTATATATGCGTATATATAAAGATAATTAAAATAAATGAATTCTAAAGTTTTAGTTTAGAATATTGATCGATCAATGAATCTGAATGAATCTCTCTTAGGTATGTATAGCTTAATATAAAACCATTTTTAAAAAGGAAGCTGACTCTTTCTTCCTTTCGTTTCTTTCTTGCTTTATTCATTTATTTATTTTTTTTTTTATCTCTTTAAACAGTTCTTCTTTGCAAGGATTCCAATAAATCTTTATTGGTTTTCTTTACATAATTCTCTTAGCGTCTACATAGCAGAATTTATCTCGGTAGAGAGCATATTTCACAAGAGGTTAGCTCGCTGCTGTTAATGAATGTACAATGATTGCAAGTCCAGGTCTCAGCTTCATTGTCTGATGTCTCCAAAGGAGCGGGTGCAGTTCCCCCGCCGGCAGCAGGACGCGCTTGAAATGAAGCAGGGGCAGTAACGCCTACATCAGCGGAGCTAACACCAACGGAAGGATAACTTGTCGTACCGCTGAAAAATGTTAAGAAACTTTAGATTTTCGATAAGTAATGGTGATTGAAGCGATTAAACTATTTGATCCCTTAAGATATTTTATGTATCTCGCTAAACTCCAAAGACAGTTAAGCAAATATACGGGGTGTGTTCAAAAAAAAAAGGTTGACCCGGGAAAGTCTTTATTTATTCATTAAAATTTCTTTTGTTTCCTTCAAACTGATCGCCCTTAGATATAATACAGTTCTGTCAGCCCTTTCTCGAGTCCTCTGATGTGGACTTCCCAGCATGGCCTTGAACTTTTTTAGCAGTCTTTATTAATCGTGGCAAAAATACGTTTTTTCATGGGGGCCAAGGTCGCAAGGGGGTTAAGTCCCGTAAACACGGTGATTGAGGCATGAGATTACGGTGTTGTTGTGATGGCTCTTTTGGTCAAACTATAGCAATTTCGGAACAAGCTTCATTTCGTCAGGCTTCATGCTCAAAGTATAGAAAAAAATTTGCCTGGCAACTTCTCTAATACTGATTCCAGGATCCTCCATAACAATTCCGTTCGCTACTTCAACGGATCCATCGGTGGGCTGTCCAAGAGAAAAAAGCGAAGGGTTTGCATCCCATGAAGTTTTGAAAAAATCACCTTCTTTTTGAACGCAGCTCGTGTGTTTGTCTAGAGTACATGTAAAGAACCAGGAATCGATTTGTGGTCCTCAGCATCGAATAAATTCGAATGTAATTCGAATACACTACGAAAGATTTTTCATTCAAAAGTAAGAAGAAGATGTACTTCCTCGGTAACCACAAACTCTCTACTCTTTACATCTAATTGATAATCCACAGCTGTCATCAAGTTTACTTAGTATCAAAAATCCTTAACCGATCCCAGATAGATACATTTATGCCTTTTACTAAAATTTATAAACATTTTTCCAAATCGTACAGACAGACATTTTGAATAAAATTTATTTTTAATTATGTTGCGTCAAACTTTCTAAGCCTGTTTGTCTATATATCAGATAGAATCAATTAGTTTAATTAGTTCACTAAACTTATAATAGAATGCTTACCCACTACCACTTGAACTGGCTTGTATTAAGGATTCCAGCACTTTCCATACTTCTTCCTTTTTGAAATTGTAAGCCATACTAGAATTTTTAGTGTGTACCGCTTCTAATAATGGCTTAATATGCTGACGCATGGGCAACATATCCATTCTGTATAAATATACAAGTAAATGAAAGTCGGACATCGCCTGTAAGTATTCATCGTTCTCCCATTGCGATAGATACGTGCTTAGGGCATTAAAATCTTGCAGATGACCGTCCAAATAACGATTCTCCACTGGAAATGGTTGACGTCTATCGTATTGAGTAAACGTGAATTGCTGTTGTAGGGGCGTTGTAGCGGGCACATCGACAAGTAGATATTCAACCGGCAATGGTCGAGCCATACGTTGCACTTCGTTACCGTATTGATCTTTTTCCTAGCATTTACAAATTTTTAAAATATGAAAATAAAAAGAAAACAAAAAAAATTTTTTTAATAAAAAAATTGCTGAAACAGTCGAGTGGCAAGTGTTATTATTATTATGGCGGAATGGTAAGTTGGAAAATGTTGTTCAAAAAGAAAAAAAAAAAAATAACTACACTAATTAGCTTAATATCTCGCTTTTTGTGTTCCGATCTCGATCACATTCAAAGGCGGTCCTTACACGTCGATGCATTAAATTTCATCAAAAAATCTCAAAAGTTACGACCTGCAGGTTGAACACATGAAACCAACATAGATAGACGGACAGACAAATTTAGGTCGGCTCAGAAAATGATTTTATGTATTATAAGCAAATTTTATAATTGATAACCGAATATTCGATTAACTCTATGACTTCACCGATTATCTGCCAGTTTTATCCATCTATATACAGACGTATTCTTCTTAAGATTCGCTCATGGAAATCCATTTTAAAAGTAGGCACACAATACAAGCTATAAGTACGCATTTGAAAATCGAAATTCGATCGGAAATTCGCAGCTTTCGGGGCGCTGCAAGATCTCAACCTACTTAAACGCTTGTAGTTAGAAGGTCTTTGAAGCCCGATTTTTTTTGGCATTTTTTTATTTTTATATCTTAAATCACTTGGGGTGCAAAGATACAGAAGAATTTGTGATAGACCCAACTTCTATTGCACCCATCGATTCAGAATCACTTTCTGAGTAAAGCCCGTCTGTCAGTCCATCCGTGTATTTTCTTGTGAAATTTTGTAGATGGGCCCAAGGACGAACAATATTGAAAATGTTTGGTATCGAATCCCTTTTCGAAACACTTCCCATAACACTTCCCATAAAATGCATTGTTTTGAAACGCTGAAGGTCAGAAAGAAGAAGAAGTAAAAGAGGGAAGGCAGCCGCCGGTAGCGGGTCTGTGTGCTCAATCGGTTCACTTCAATATGAAAGCGGATGCCATAGCATTTACGTCCGTGATAAGAGAAGTAGTAGTAGTAGTAGTATAGTAGGGTGTTCAAGGTTGGGTCGTGACCCACGACAATCTTCTTTTTCGTACTTTAAAACAAAAAAGAAAGAAATACTACATCACCTCTGCTCCCATGCACACTAGGTACGCGAACATTCACAATCACACCAACATTTACCATGAACTATGATCAACCACACGCTATAAATAATATTAAATTTTAGTTATGATGGCGAAGATATTGTAAAAAATTTACGATATTTCCAAGCTGCTAATCATACGACATTTTCAAGTTCTTTAAGATGAGTCTTCGTGTTCCGTCCTTTTCAACGTTAAAAGGTAAGTAAACAAGTGAAAGCGTAATTCAGCCTTGCATTACTCATTCACGTACTCACCTACTCACTGACTTAACACTTCTTTTCTAAACTTATAAATGGCAAGGTTAAATTCTTTAACAAATCTGTTCTAAGGTCACATTATATAGAAGAAAAAAAAAAAAAAAAACATTTCGCGAAGTAAAAGGACATCACAAATCTCTTAATGTTTAGCATCAAAATTTATTGCTCTCTTAAGATTTTTAAAAAAATGAAAATATACTCAGTTGAACTAGTGACCTGATTTTCGAAACTTTGACTTGAAGCTTTTTAAACTAAAAGAGAGGTAGATAGATAGAGAGCGCGAGAGAGAGAGAGAGATATGAAAAGACAAAGAGCAAGCATGAGAGAGAGAGAGAAACTCCCACATATATATATGTGTGGAGGCAGTTCAAAAAGTATTTATATACAAATGTATATGCGATTTAATTAAGTTTTCTTTATAAGCTTTTACAACCTGTTTGCACGTAATAGGTGGTGGTAGAGAGCAAGAAGCAGCTAACAGTTATATACGAAGAAGACCATGAAATTGCCTTTTTTACAAGGTTACCTTGTAGTCCTAGTAGCAGTTGATTGTTCAACTCAGCGTCGCAATATCACATCTTGCCCGCCCTTCTTCCCCCCCTCCCCACCGCCCCACCAGCCACCATCCATCTTCCATCGAAGTAGAGTTTTTAAGGTCAACATTTTTTTTCTTAATTAACCACGAAATGAAAAAAGAAAAAATGACAAAATTTATTAAAGTAACAAAGTATTTACTACTGTTATGTTGTGTGTTTGTTCTCTATTACTTTTGTTTCTTTCTCATTTGATAATCTTTTTCAAGGTTATTAGGTCAAAATGTTAAAAATAAAAACCTCTTCTCTCCTTAAGATTTGTGTTTTTTTCTAGTTAGTTATTTAGTTAATCATGCAGTCTCTCATGCATTTACACCACATAAGTGGAAAAGTTGAAAATTTTAATTTAAGTAAATAAATAAAACTTGAATATTAAACACACGATCTTTGCTGCCAGTCAGTGAGCGGGCAAGGAGGAAGGAGATGATGAAGTAACTTTAAAGTTTGATGCTTAGTAATAAACGATTTAAGGATAGTCTTCAAGGAACCTAATATATGTCTATTCGGTTAAGCTATTATTGTTGTTGTAACCATAACCTAAGAATGAGGAATGCATTCATTTGGTTAAAACGCTTTCAACGCCCAGAGGGAAGAGTTAGAGGCTCCACAATGCATATATATTCTTGATTAACATCAAATTTTAAATCGATTTAAGCACGTCCGTCTGTCCGTCCTCCCTCTGATGAAGCTATCGACTTAAAATTTAGCAGAAACATTGACAGTTCTTGCACGCAGGATGCTAATGAAAATGGGCAAAATCGGTCCACGGACACGCCCACAGCACTAGGTAAACTGAGATCGCCTCCATTTTTCAAAGGGAATGAAAAATTCTTTTTTTTGCTCATTACTGATAGACTATAGCAGATAAACGTAGCATTTGTACAAAAATGGAAAACATTGACCACGCCCACCCAATATCGGAATGTATCAAAATTTAATATTTTTTCGATACTTTTCGATAGGCAAAGGTGGTGTGTGCAGTTCTCAAGTGCGGTCGAGTTTCCAATAAACCTGATAGGCTTAGATGTGCTGGTGCTTTAAGACTGAGAATTTATCTTCAAAATTTCCATAGCAGTAGCATATTTTCTTCAGCATATGGCATTATTTCAGTTTCCAGCATGTTTTAATGTTTCTTCTGAGATGTGCCGGGTCAATAAATCCTTACAAGAAAGGCAGCTCCGCAGGATAAGAATTCCTCGGGTTACGCGTCCAAGAGATATCTCATAAGTGATTGGTCATAGTTAAAAAAAAAAAAAAACAAAGAAAAAAGTTTCATAAACACCTCCCTCCGTCTATCGATGCGAACTCCTTGATAAAAAGGATTCAGAGAGATGGAGATTAAAAGATAAAAAATTAAAGTGAATAAGAGCCGCTTACGGAAGTTAAGCTAGATTTTGGTATCTAATCAGATAAACGGAATTTGAAAGCCCCCACATATATTATTCCTATTGCTTGCTGGAAAGTTACCCATAGGAACTTAAAGTGATTTCATGGAATTAAAATTCCAACCCTTCACATGGCCCATTAGCAGCTCTGATACATGTAAGCAATTTTCTTATGCTTAATACAGTTATCGAAGTGTACCGTATAAGGGAAGTAAATTCAATTCAAGAACGTACTGAATACAAAATCAAACTTAGATATCGTTACCGAGCATTTAATCATCTTCTACTTTTTTTTTCTTTTCATCAGTCTCGTGACATGAACATTTTTTTTTAATATCTTGCCTGTCAAAACTTGTGTAACGTAAACGCACACACATCTATATGTGTGTATCTACGTACGTACATATATGCATGCTTGTACGTATGTATACATGTGTGTAAAATGATGAAGAACGTAGTCATAAACCCATCCATAACGATTTGCAGGCAATCGCATGAATATGGATAAAATACATCACCACCACTACGAAGCAATCAGCCAGCAATCGACTGCAAAGACGGTGGATGACAAATTTGTTTAGCGCCATTGAAGGAATTGTTGATACAAAAATTTCAAGGCTCGAAAGGAAATAAGCATTTGAATGAAAGAAAAATTGAATAATTTCATAAATTAAATAAAACAAACATAACTAACATCCGCATAACCCTTAGCATAGTAGACAGCATCGATCGCAATCTAAATATTAAAAGTGAAAGTAAATCAATTTTCTGGTGAGAAAATTGAAAATGAAAATTTCATAAATAAATTTCATAATGTGACGCAGATTCGCTTTTAAAAACGAAAGCAAATTAATGTTTGACTAGAAGGGACAGACAAAGAGTAACATGAAATATTTCCGAAAGCTTTTCCGGTAGGAAAAAAAGTCTAAATAGTTATGCGATTCCATTTAATTTAGTTATTTATATAACGACTGTTTTCAAAATAATGCCTTATATATAAGGTGTTCGGAAAAGTTCTCCAATCTGAATCATTTTGAAAGTGGTTCGTTCTTTCGTCAAAAGGCGTCATTGTATCCAGCTTCATTAAAATATCTTAAGAATTGCTATCTTTGGGTTGAAGAAATGAGAACAAGATATACAAGACGGACAGACAAGCTTAGATTGATTCGAACAGTGGGCCGTGTGATCTATCTCAAATCTACACAAACTTAGTATACCCTTGTGTGTGTGTGTGTGTGTGTGTGTGTGTGTGCGCCAAATCTCATTAAAATATTTCGAAAATTTCAAGGTGTAGGTTGAATACAACTTGCCAGACAGACGGACAAACAAGTTTAGATCGATTCAAAAGTAACTATCTCAAGTCCTTCTAGGTGTTGCATACATCCATGCAAACTTAATATACACTTGTTCGGTAAGTGATGTAGGATATAAGAATCTGAATGAAACTTTTTATCAATTGAAGCGTTGCAGGTTCCGCTTCCGAGTAAAGTTATGGAATTTAGATATGGCTCCCTTGAACTTATGGTCATATCTGGCATAAGCTTGGTAATGCTTTAAGAATTACAAGTTAACGCAAGTTTACACATATTTCTATGTTCGATCGTCCGGATCTACATCCGGTAATCCAAAAAATATTCG